GTTTTACAAATATGCTTGCAATTGAAATGGCACATTATTATTTATTATTATTATTATTATTTCTGATTGAAAACTGAGTCAAAAAGTCCTATACAATTTTGCAATTTTCGCAAAATGATTGATAAAATATTAATTAATTCTAAAGATTGCTGAATAAGCCGCCCAACCATTAATTATTACAAAAGTTGCAAAATGATAGAGAATTTTTCGACTCAGTTTTTGATCATAGGATTATGTGAATAATATTATGTGATTCGACAATCGCTTATTCGGTATGTGAACAACATTATGTGATTCGGCAATTGCTTATTCGATAATCTTTAGAAATTAATATTTCGTCAACTAGAAAATGAATGGAAAAATCTATTCTTGTAGAAGTTAAACGCTAGATTAAACATATATAAGTTCGTAATCAAGTGTTTGAAAAACTTATTAATGGAATGCAAAAAGTTAGATGATGATATTATGACTTCACATGATATCAAAACCTAAGTTTTGGATTTTAAATTTAAAGAAATCAAAGATCTAAGAAAAAATAAGATCTTTTTTTCTAATTTTAGTGAAAGTATAATAAAGTAATAATAAATTAAGAAACATAATGCATTCATATTTTATTCTTTATATTACGGAATTTCCATGAATGGAGAGTGTGCAGAAAATTGTAAATTCTTCATTACATTTTTCCAACACAAATTTCACACAATTTGATAGTTAATTTTAATATAATATTAATATAATTTTAATATAATATAATATTATAATTCGCTCATTTAGAATAACTAAAATGTTCTATTTATGATCCAGTATTGTAAAGTGATATTATTGGAGCATTCAGAATCTTATATTTACGTTAAGAGATCCAGATATTTCTAAAATGGTTGATGTTCCAATGGTAAGTGTAAAATTACATAATAATCATCTGTTGATATAGCTAATTTTTTCATGTTACATTCGATAAAAAAAATCATGATTATATGACGTTAAATATATACATTAAAGATACGTAGTTTAAAAGTATTGTATTCAAAAATATAAACAATTAAAATAATCTAATTTGTTATTTACAGATTTTCACTGTGGAAAATGGCATTTATAAGGGACAAATAACACATGATTTGAATAAATACAACTGTCTCGGAAATGTGATATGGAGCAGCATTAAAAGAAATGGAGAAAAAATTGCACACGTGAGTCAATTTTATATACAAGGTGTCCCGTGAGACTTTTCCAAGCACTTTTTTTGTAGATAGAGCGGCTTAAACTGAGTTGAAAAGTCCTATCATTTTGCAATTTTCGCAATGATTAACGAGATATTAATTACTAAAAATTGCCGAATATTAGTCTCCGTATTTTCTCGTGTTGATAAAAATAGTTGTTAATAAGAAAATGCAATATTAAAAAGTTGAAAAAATTCTGAAAAAATTCTTAGAGTTCTATAAGGAGGATATAAATAATTTTTGCCTCATGTTGTTTTTCTGTAAAGTTAATAGTATTTGAATAAAAAATTATTGAAGACCAACATTTGGCAATTTTTAATAATTAATACCTCGTTAATTATTGCGAAAATTGCAAAATGATAAAGAATTTTTCGATTCAGTTTAGACTATTCTATCTATAAAAAGCGTTTGGCAAAAATCTCGCAGAACATCTTGTATAATATAATATTAATAATAGAAATATTAATATAGAATTTACTAGAAAAAAATATAAACTTTAAAATTTATGTATCTATAGTAATAAGAGAAAAGATTTATAAAAAATAGATATTTTATAATTAAAATGATTAATATTAGCGATGATAAGTATATGTATAGGTTACAGTAAATTAAAATGTTTACACAGTACGTGATAAACTGTAGCTGTTAAACTACAGTTAGATTAAATCTTCAATCAAGTCTTTGATTAAGATATTTAAAGAACTCATCAACAGAATGCCAAGAGTTTGAGTTCTGTTATTAAAAGAAGTTTAATTAAATATAAATTGTCAAAGATTAAATTAGCTTATTCAATTTTTGCATTCGAATGAAATAAAATATTATTTCAGATTAATTAAAGTAAGACATGGAAGATTTTCAAAATACTATTCAAAACAATTAGAAGACTAAGCAAATTTAAGAGAAAATCTACAAAACAATTGAAATGTAAATTTAACAGATTAACATCAAAGATTGCAATAACAAAATCAGGTCTACATGATAGGTGTTCTGAGATATACATGAAGTGCATGAGGCATCATTGTTGTTTATTAAATAATAAAGAAGAATAAAACGATATATCATGTGCTTCATGTGTAATTTGGAATGCATCCGATATTTGCCAATAATCGCTAGTTAGTGAAGTTGCGATATAGCTAATATCAAAGTTTTATGAAGTATAAAATGGAAAACATTTTAATTATAATTTTAAAATAATTGCAGAATTAATCATCACTAGCAACAAAATTAAATAAAACTCTTATATCATAAATATATCATAAATAAAACTCTTATTATAACATTGTCAAAAACTATTTTTAAACAATAAATGAAAACACGGACAATTAAATTCGCAGTAATTGAAGTGATTATATCAACATATATTTCTCAGTATTATATATATTCAGTATTACATAACAAATACCGCAAAACTTATTTTGTTTTAAACTTAATCGGAAATGATTAGTAATAAATATCTTGGGACTATCATTTCGAAAATTTTTTGTGATACAATTCAATACACATTAAAAAAAGTTCATAGTAAATAAAAAAAATAAATTAAATAAAACGAGAATTCAAATAAAATTCTTTAAAAACTGATTAAACATTTTTACAATTATGTATAGTTTTTGTAAAATTTAATTTCTTCTTTTAATCAATAAAAAATGTTTTGGAATTTATAGATGATTCTTTCAATAATAAGCTAATGACTCTGCAATATAACTAATTCCTTATTGTTTTGGAACATTTTTTATAATAATACTGTGCAGTTGGATGTACGCACTGAAGAGACGGTCACATACGCGGAGTTGCAAGATAAAGTTGTGAGATGCGCTTTGTGGCTACAAAAACAAGGAATCAAATCTAATGATGTCATCAGTGTGTGTACGGGCAATCATTGTAATTCCATCGTGCCCTGTCTTTCAGCAATTTATACCAACATGATTTTCAATCCATGGGACGAGAACATGAATCTAAGTAAGTTTTTTCGCGACTATTAAATGTTACAATATTCCACATTATGTGCAATATTAAAAATAGTAAATGTATTTTCAGTAAAATACACGCAAATACAATTTTATTTACTTTAGGACAATGTTTATTTTTTTAATTATGAGTTTATTTATCATTAGAAACTGCGCTGCATGTTTTGCGAATGATCATGCCGAAGGTGATCTTCTGCAGCGAGAAATCAATAGATGTCATCTTGAGCGCGATAAAGGAGCAGAATTGCAGTCCCACGATAGTAGTTTTTGGCAAGCATGTTGATGCGATTTCGTTCTCCGATATTTTGAGTAATTGCAGCAATGTAGAAATAGCAAATTTCCATTATGTCGACCACGTTGACATCACGAAGACGGCATGTATTTTACATTCGTCAGGCACTTCAGGGATGCCAAAAGGCGTTGAATTGTCCAATCGCGTTCTGTTATGTATCTGTCAGAATAAAAGTATTAACTCGACTAATGAGATATTCCTTTGGTTTTCTTCTCTTTATTGGGTGACTGGGATATTCCTGAATTTGATTACAATTGAGCAAGGACGCAAAGTGATCATCTGCCCTGAATTTAACGAGGAGATGACTTGTCAACTGATCGAGAAATATCAAGTAATATTATGTTATATATAAAAAGTTTTATTTTTCTTAGTTTCATTAAATAATTAAAGTAGAATTATTTTAATTTTTTTATATTTTCTAAAAATAATATAACTAAATTGTTTCACACTAATGTAAATAAGTAATAGCAAGTAATTTTCTTCTATAAGTAAATTTTTACTCTAATTAGTTTTAATTTAGTTTTTATTATAATCTAACATTTTTATATGTAATTTAACTTATCTTTTTATTAAAATAATTATATTAATTCTTGTATATTAATAATTATATT